GCCACGCCCGCCACGGCTGAGCCATTGCCTCCTTGTCTCTCTGCAGACAGAAATGAAGGTGTTGAAGGACCGGCTGGAGATCGAGAAACAGGCCTGGGAGGCGAACTACGTGAAGAAGGAGGTAACGGCGAGGGCTGCTCTTCTCCAGAGGTGCCACCCAAGAGGGACCGAGGCAGCGTTTGCCATCTCTGTCCCCAGGAAGCCTGGCTGCTCTCCCGGGAGCGGGAGCTGCGGGAGGAGGTGAGGAAGGAGAGGGACAAAGAGATCGAGCTGGTGATCCAGCGCCTGGAGGCCGACATGTCCTCTGCCAAGGAGGAGTGCGAGAGGGCAGCGGAGAACAGGTAGGAAGGAGGGAGCCTGCGAGTCCCTGCTCCCCCGGGGCTGGTCCCCTTCCCCTGAGCGCTGCGTGTCCCTCCGGCGAGCTCCGGACGCTGCCGCGGTGGGTGCCAGCAGCGTTGGTGCAGCTGATGGGGACGAAGCTCACCTCTCGCTTGGGGACAAGTATGAGGTGGAGCTGCAGGAGCTGGAGCAATCTGAGCGGAAGCTGCAGGAGCGCTGCAACGAGCTGAAGGGGCGGCTGGCGGAGCTGGAAGGGGAGAGCGCGCGTCTGCAGGGCCTGCTGAAGCACAAGGAGCAGGAGATGGAGGAGATCCGGAAGGTGGGTGAGGAGCAGAGCTTGGGCCTTTGGCTCTTCTCCCTGCTCCGTGCCCTGCCTGGCTCTGTCCCCTGGCATCGCCCTGTGCCCATCGGCGCCTCGGTGTTCCCTCTCTGCCCCGCTGCAGGGGAGGGACCAGCTGGCCCAGGAGCGGAGCAGCCTGGCAGAAGCCATCCGGCAGGAGGTTGCGGACAGGCTGGTGGGGACGGAGGAGGAGAACAAGCAGCTGAAGGCAGAGATGGCGGAGATGAGAGCCCAGCAGAGCCTGGAGCTGGACAGGGTGGTGCGGGAGAAGGACCAGGAGCTGGAGGAGGTTCACAGGAGGTGAGGCTGCCTGGACTTCGGGCTGGGCTCCCAGCAGGGGCCGGGGGCACGG